TTAGAAAACCTGTGACAAGTCGGATGCCACTTCTGTTCAGCATAAGTAGCTCCCTAGTTCTGGCTTTTGATCGAAACGGCATGGATTCTTTTGCTTGTCTGCAGGTAATTGTATTATCCCAATCATTCTGACCTGCTCTTTACAGCCATTTATTACTTTTAAGTTTGAAAAAGCTCCACGAAGGACCGCAGAATGGTTGTGGCCCAATATAGTATGAGGCCGCCCCTTTTCTCGCTAGTTCATCTGCTTTTTCGTTTCCCTCAAAACCGCTGTGCCCTGGAATCCATATTAAGTGGACTTTGTTCCTTTCAGCAAGATCTTTGAGAAGTAGAAGGCATTCCCACACTATTTTTGAGGTTACTCGAGGTGAGCGTAGTGCCAGGAGAGCCGATTTACTGTCAGAAAAGATATATATGTTTTTTCCTGTGACGGGTTTACCTTTATATACCCTGAGACATAATTCAATTGCATGTACTTCAGCCTGAAAAACTGAGTTTTCTTTCTTTTCAAATCAGAGTATTTCTCCAAGTCTGATTTCCTCGAGAAATTGTAGTTTTGAACATACTCTACCGAGTCTTACTTCTTGCTGGAAACTCAACGTATCCAGAAATCCAAAAGATTCATATCTATGTATTTTAGCCAAGAGTATTCAACTCCATCACAACTTTTAATATCGAATGGTGAGAATTGAGAACCGTTACAGCTAGAACCAGTTATTCTATGCTTAATCCGAAATAAGATCCAGAAATATATATTTCTTTTGTTCATACATCAGTGCCGTGAAAAGTCCTAGCACGTGATTTAAACTTTTATGTTCTGCTCTACAAAACCTACAAGTCTTCTAATTCCTTTTAATAAAGTTATCCTCTTATAAAGATGAAGTCCTCTAAATAAAGTTATTATTGTTAAGTTTCGTATATATAAAAGATTATCCCAGCATAGTTATTTCTGTTTCTCCTCTTCTTTCTGAATTAGTTTGAAGAAATGATTTCTTCCTTCATAATACAACTGCTTTCATAATTTTGATACCGGAAATTGCAAGGTGATCCGGTACATTTAGGATCTATATCTAATAAGATCATCAGCTTATCAGGATACTTCATCACTAGTCTTAATGTCAACCTATAACAATCAAAAGCTTTCTTTGCTTCATCCTATCAATTAAGGTAACCCGGTACATTTAGGATCTATATCTAATAAGATCATCAGCTTATCAGGATACTTCATCAATAGTGTTGATGTCATACAATGAGAATCAAAAGCTTTCTTTGCTTCATGCTATCAATTAGGGTAACCCGGTACATTTAGGATCTATATCTAATAAGATCATCAGCTTATCAGGATACTTCATCAATCGTCTTGATGTCATACAATGAGAATCAAAAGCTTTCTTTGCTTCATGCTATCAGTTAGTGCGGCTTTTCTATGGTTGTGATACTGCTGTAGTTAACGTAAATACACATTTCTATAGCGTACTTCCGAATAGTTTCGCCATGATTAATAAACATCTGCTTAATCTTCTTTATCAGTTATGAAACCATCCATATACCAAGCTAACATGGATGGATTGGTTTATCTTATAGATTTTAGATAACAATCCCAATTAATTTTACTACCATTATTCTTATATTTTTTATTTTTATCATAACCCTTTTTTATTTGATAAAAATTAACTTCCAATGCATAGTGGCTTGCAGTATCAGATAGTACGATATATATTCAATATTTTTTTCATAACACGTTTTATGGAGAGCACCTCTTAAAGTTTTTTAATATGAAGATACATTATAAAAAAGTTTAAGCACCCCTGCTTGAAGTCATGATCGCAGAACACTTTTAATTATTATATTTGCAAACTTAATCTGTTAGCAATACACGAAATACGATTTTCATTTTTAGTTTATTTAAATTTTATTCCGCTTGGGTGAGACGTTTGGGGCGAAAACTTAATGAAGCCGCTTTATCAATTGTAAATAAAGAGAGTATAAAAAAGTATAGATTATTTCATGTCTAATATTAATTAAAGCGGCATCATGTGCTGTTAAATATTTTTTTTTTTACTGGTATTATGTACGTGAGTTATTTATTAAAATATTTACATACATACATACATTATAATTGTGTACATAGCAGACTTTTTTCACAACTTTGCACTTATATAAAAGTCATTCTGAAAAGTACATATATACAATATATAAAATAATAACAATTATGCAATTCCCTTGTTGCGTTCGTTCTCACAATTATTCCTTAAATTTATTACCTTCAATTACAATATTTATTGTGTTTCAATTGACAGATACTAAATTCATTGAGGGATTTTAATTGCCTAATGTTCCCAAACGTCAAGAGAGCAAAAAGATCAATTACTTAGTGCCATTAAAAGTTAACAAGACTCTTTAATGATAAATATTATTATTACCCTACATAAAAAATTTAAATATGAACATATAAATGTATATATATATATATATGTATATATGTAACTATGTAGACACATTTAATATATGTCTTGTGTAACCTGTATGTTAATATTATTTGATTTAATATCTACATTATGAGGTCGTCTTTGTAAAAAAACGACCTTAGGAAGTCTAGAGTCACAATATTAGAAAACAACTTCGTAAAATTTAATGTTAGAATTCTTGAAAGTATAAGCATGAGCTAATACTCATTTGTTAGATCAGAAATACAGCGCAAGACAAGTGTAAGAGTCAGAAAAAACACTCTCTCAATTTAGATGTCTATCTCTTCTAACTAAAATAAACAACTGGCATTTGCTATATAAATGAATAAGTTCCGGGAGCATACAGGTCTAAACTCCTCAAGATCTATAAAGAGAAATTCTCACATCCTCAGCAAAGTAGTATAAATTTTATTCTATAAACATTCAATATGAATATATTGCTGAATAAAAGTCTTAAGATTATATTCCTAACCATTGTGATTATAATGGTTTAATAAACTATTACAATGATTTCATCAGTGACGTCAGTTTTTGGCCATCCAGATTGAACTTCATAATCTAATGATCTAATACTACCATATTTTTAGTATTTAATTTGCAACAACGCTTTTTTTAAATACGAAATAAACTTGATACTTACATATATCTTTCCAGTTCCACAAACACTTAAAGTCGTCCGATGACGATATTAAAAATAATTTTGATGAAGCAGTATACAACTTTTACGATGCTAAAGTACTATTAATAATGGTACTTTAGGATCTGCTTTCAATGAATAAATAATCACCTACAAAGTGCTAATCGCCAACTGAGGAGAAAAAGTGAAAAAAAATTGTCAAAAATGGCAAACTATTGTTTGATAGGCTTAAGTCTTTAAAGGACTATTACCCCAAGGTTATGTTAAAGATATGGTTTATATTTTGACCTGAAACTTAACGAATACCTTAGTATACTTTAGTAAACCATATCAGAAATGATCAATAGACCTTTACACCTGATTTTGCTCTGTATTATTTAAATTTGAAAGTAACATATTAGTACATCAATGAAGAATTCTGGAAGTCAAATATTGTAGCTAATAGCTGAAAGAAGTATCTTATAGTCACAGTCCGGAAGAAAAATTACTTACAAAACCAGACAAATGGGAAAAGTATTAACTTACTGAAAGCCATCTAAAAGGTATTAGTTTTTATAGTAGAACATATGGAATATGTCGTGTGTCATTATTAGACAGTCCAAAGATCCTTTTTACTTTTCCCCTTTATTGACTTCGAGCAAGCTATTGATACAATGAAAAAGAATGTTATACAGCAAGTTTCAAGGCACAAGTATAGTAATGATATATATATCTAATACAGATACAATAATTGATTATCCGAACTGCACGAAAATCCAACCTATAGGATATGCAACAAAGCAATAATTAGCCACCCATTTTAATAAATTATCAGTTGTGGCACACGATAAGATCATATTCGCTTGCCACTGGTACTCGTAATAGTACTGGGCAACGTATTATCACCGTATTATACTTCTTTATACTTTCTTATCTAGCATCCTGCACGAAAATCATGTGATTTAGACTATGATAACGACATTTGTTACATATCACACACTATGTTAAGAAATCAACAATATTTGTAGGCAAATACTAGACATAATACACCTAGAAATCGCAAAGATAAGTCCAGTTGTAATAGTTGGCTACATCGAAGAGTTGAAAGGTCTTGGGCAATGAGACTAACTTTTATTAATAAGTACCGATATTGTATTTGCAATACTAGGGCTGCATGTGAACAGTTGGAAATCGAAAACAAAAGAAGGAATTCATACATTTCGTAAAGATGACAGAACTTTACGAATTTTATTACAGCTTTATGCATTTGTTGAACAACATTAACACTAAGCAGGGAAATAATAGTATAGTTATGATATGGTCATAACTCACTTATTTAACCATAACAACCCTTTACCATATTTCGACCTAACGCACCATGTCTCTTCTAGCGTCTATGCTGCGTGTGCGTTTTCTCCAATCTCTTACATTACGTCCGGTTAGTACTTTTTCAATCCAACACAGACTTGGTGTACCTCTACACTTTCTTCCTACAACATATCATACATTCTTACGACGTGACCACGCCAACGAAGCCGCTGGATGTTATTTCGTTGAATTATATTAATGTCGTGATAAAGCTCGTATAGCTTGTGGTTCATTAGAATGCGGTAGTCGTCATCAACTCATAGATAACCAAAGATATCACGAAGAACTTTTCTCTCGAAAACTTCCAGTGCGATATACAGAAGCACAGGTAAGATGTGCGGCCTATATAGGGTAAGTTTTGTTTGTAGAGAGAGAGAGCTCTACAACCCAATTGCCTACTGAACCCTTAGTAGCACTGTGATAGCATCGTTGATTGTTCGTCTGATCTTCAGGATAATAACGTTATAGTACCATATTCTATGCTATCTTATATTATTTTAGATTAAACTGAAAATAATATCTGTGATTCAAAATACTATTAAAATAGTTACTTATTCACTGTTGTAGTTCCAAATCCTCTTAAGTATATATCAGTGTTGAAGTCCTCTATGCAGAGTGTACTGAATAGTATTAAGACTAACGCTATATTTTTTTATTTACCGTATCTAATAGCACATTTCTTCGGAATCGGAAATTAATTGTTAGAACTCAAAGTTACAAAATAATTTTATGCAAATAAATTCAATATTTTTTTTCTAGATTCGCTAGTTGTTTTTTTTTTGTTTTATTATCGACGTGAGAATTATAAAATGTGCTATTTAAATTTTTTTTTTATCGCTTTTCTCAACCAAACGATGAACTACTCACGCTCTCTGAATTCAAGAAATTGTCAATTAGTTTTCCTATTAATATTATTATCTGTTGTTGTCGTTATTGTTGTTGTTGTTGATATTGTTGTTCTTTTGACTGTTTGGGGCTTCAATTCATAGCTCTTCGGTGACTAAAAATGTGGCGGATGGCTGCGTCTATTTACTGTTGATATTGCCTCCCTGCCTGTTCTATTTGTATGAACTTCAAATTTTGAATTAACCGCCAAATGATTGATTCGTTTTACATTACTTTTTTTTCGAGAATTAATTTAAATTATTTGTTATTTGTTATTTTTTTTTTTTTGTGTGATTTTAACTTTTGCTTATTTGTCATTTCGTTGGCGAAGTCGTATCAATTCGTTGCTGATGATGAGAAACTTTTCAGTTGCTAAAAACATGTCGCTGCAGCGCGTTGTCATCACGTTTAATTCGTCAAATCGTGTATGGATACACTATTTTCGAGATTAAAGAAAAAAATTCAAATTTTTTTTAAATTAAATATAAATTTTTGTACTCTAAATTCTTGAAGATTTGCTAACGAAACCGCAACGATAAGCATTTTTTTAACGGTTTAAATAAAATTAATTCAACCTAAACTAAGAACCGCAAAGTACTGATGTTCCCTCGATGGAAGAGAGTGTAAACTTGTCGTCGACTGTGTAATTAAATAAATATTTAATTATTTAAATTTTTTTTTTTATTTTTTTTTGATTTGTGCTGTATACATTTTATTTTGTTTAAATTTGTTGTACATTAATTAGCTTTTTTATAATGAAAATTAATTTAAAAATAACTTTTAAAATATTAATTCGCTCACACATTAAATTAGTTTGTGTTAAATATTTAATGTGAGTGCACCTGAACGTGTCTGATGTGTTAGAATTATTAAAATATTTTTAAAATATTTTATTAATAAAAATGTTTAAGGCTGGACAGATAAACTCGTTCCTCATATTGTCTATATACCTACACATAATCTCATAACAAAACAAACTTATCAGTACTAAACTCAGCTTGAGTCTAATTCACTTGAATCGTATTCTTTCCTCAATAGAAAGTTAAACTTTTTAAAATACCTACTCTATTTAATAGTTTCAGTTTTTCATTCCTATCTTAAAACTCAAAGAAAACAACAACTAATAGTAGGTTAAATACAACTGACGTGTCTGTAAAAATAAACATGTACCATAATGTTTAGGTATATGACATGAGATATATATAAACGTGACCTGTAAATTAGACTGCAACATATACATTTGTATATCTATATGGTTTCTTTAAGTTGCAAACTTTGGTAAAAACTGTTCCTGGTTGGATAAAGAAATATCTACACTATTTCATAGTGTCAGTTTCTCCAATCCTACCTCACAACTCAAAGAAAACAACAACTAATAGTAGGTTAAATACAACTGACGTGTCTGTAAAAATAAACATGTATTATAATTTTTGGGTACATATTTGACATGAGATATATATGAACGTGATCTGTAAATAAGATTGCAAGTTATATATATATCTATATGGCTTCTTAAAGTTGCAAACTTTGGTGGAAAACTGTTCCTGGTTGGATAAATCCGTTCGATAAACCTGGTTATAGTGAATTTAAAACAATGCCACCAAAATGTTGTTATTAGTAACTTATTATTAAAATTTATAAAAAAATAATCTTACAGAAAATTTAAAAAAAAAATTTATATATTCACAAATAGCACAAAATTTGGTTTCAAGAGGACTAATTAAGATTCCTTGGTATATTAGAACAACAGAAATGCATAGAGATCTAAGAATCAACTTAGTGAAAAAGTATATCAAGGACAGAGCCCTAAAATTATTCAAAAAAATTGATATGTTGCCCAACTCCGCTCTAACAAACCTTAAGTCCACCTCAGGACGCACAGGAATATATGCTGCTCTACGGTCCGTCATCAGTTAGAAAATAAATAAATGATAATGATTCTCGTATACTTAAAGTTTAATGTGGGGCAGGGATAAGCCCCCCAGCCACAATAGAGTAAAAGTGCGCAATAGCAAAAACTCAAATCATAACAACAACAACTATTTAATAGCATTTGCTTTCACAATAATAATATTTCAATTAATTTTCGAAAAGACATTTACTAAATTATGTATGACATTAAATAATCTGTTTTCTGTCTGATATTTACCTTCAGTCTACAACTTTAAGTTCTATTATACATGGAGAAGTCATATATATATATATATATAAATCAATCTTATTATTAGTGATTTCAGAACGTCACAAAACCAGAAAATCTATAAATGGACGATCATGAATCACCATTCCATAATTAAGGAATACCATTAAAAAAACAAATGTTTTGCCATTCCGCCATTATAGAATAAAAAATACAGTATTTTATTTTTATTATTGATAGTGCTAGCGATTAGTAATACTTTTAATAAGACTTAATGTATTCTCTAAAACACTTGTACGACACTTCATCACTTTCTGCATAAGAATTTAATTTTAATAGACATAATTTTTAGAGACAACCTTACAAATAAATTGTAAAGTATCCACATAAAGACACCCACTGTAGTATGACAAATAGTTGCATTAAGTAAACTACTTAGTTTTCTGGTATATGAATACATTATGACTAGGGCTGCTGACTATAACACATTAGTATTTTTTGTAATAACATCACTCTAAATAAAATAGTAGAATAATATGTAGGATATTTGTTGTTCTCTGTCTTCATTATGTTAGATATAATTTTTAATATAATTTTTTTACTTGAAGTAGTCAAAGTCAGTACCAGCGTATGAAGTCATAGCCCCCCGATATATGTGATGCAATATAATTTAAATCATATAACTCGAATGAGTTAGTCCCGGATTCTGTAAGGCTAGCTTACTAGCTAATTCAGACTTCTGCGTTTAAAGTGGTCCTAAAGGTCAGTTTACGAACAGTTTCTCATCATTGGTATCACAATGGGACTATTTCTGCTCAAGTGAACTTTGATACGCAAGACTGCTCCTCCAACCTAACCTTACTATGCGCTGATTGTCGATAAGTTTAGTTATGGGCCCAACGAAAAGTTTACAATTTTTAGATCAATTTGATATTGTATCTCCTTTCATTTAGACGTATTTGATATACTTAAAACTACTGCGACAATAATATACAATTAAAAGATACAAATAAAGATAACAATTTCAACTTTTCTTGTTAACATTATATTTATATTTATTTTATCATTAGGAAACAAATATTTGAGGCTTTTATTTAATGTTAAGATCTATCCTTACTCAACATAAACTACCTATAACTTCACATATTAATATTATACTCAGATTATATTATACTTGATGATAATCGATTGAGGACTGAATAGCGCTTGTTTGTTGTTGTTATTATAGCAAAACCTCATTCTTAGATAAAAGGTAGACGTGGTTAGATAAAAGACGTCCTTTTATCTAAGACAACCTTAGATAAAATGTCATTACGTATTGTATCTAACCTGAGTTTACATCAAGAAATCTTCTCACCACAACCTCGATTTAGTCATAAATCAATTTACGTGCGAGCACTTGTTTCTCGAAGTTGTTTGATAATTATCTAAATCATAAACTTAGTCGAAAGACTTATATGCCATTTAATTTTATTTGAAATAAGATTTTTCGCAATAAGAATAGATGTTGAACTTTATAGATTTGGGTGAAGAATACAACCACCTCAACGGGGTGTAACCATATATCAAATGAGATCTATTTTGTGTACTATTACTTTTTGTAGATGTTGAAGATTCGCTACAAAGTAAACTTAGTCAGAAAACTAGTATTCCCTGAGAGCAATTATTTTGTGTGCTTTAGAATCTAGTTCAGTATTCCTCTTTGGCAACCATATACTTTATATATACATACATACAACAGTCTCTAACTGAATTAAATTGCCTTTCACTTTAAATCTAAGATATCGAGTGTAAACATATTTCTATATGTATAGCATGATTTAATAAAATAATTCTAAGATCCTTAACTGATATCTACTATCCACTAACTTATGGATATATGTTTTTCTTATAATATTAAATAAATATTTACATAATCCTTTAAGGCATAATGTGTGTCAATAAGGAGAACAATAATATATCTATAGAATATATATATATAGAATATATATGTAGAATATATATATAGAATGTATATATAAAATATATATAGGATATATATGTAGAATATATACATAGAATATATATGTAGATTATATATAAAATATATATGTAGAATATATATATGGAATAATATTAAGGAATAATAAGGAATCTTTAATATTTAAATACTAATTGGCATTATATGAAATTAAACGATAAGTAGTTTTTATTTATTTTTGTTAAAAGTTATATATAATCCATGTCCACAGCAAATTGCATTTGGTATCTTTCGTCAATATCCACAAGAATATTGTTTCTACTTTTTGTCGGTATTCATTAAAATATTAAAAGAATAAGGCGTATATCTTATATAGTAAGACGTGATTGACTCTTTTAAGCTTAAAAACCTTACTCAAATTTTCGATATACTAATACATGTACTGATTTAGGTATATACGTATAATCTCACCTTCCTTTAAGTACTACCTTCACACCCATCTTAATCATTTTTTTTCCACTCAGTTAATCTAAAATTAACATATGTCTATTTTATAAATTTCGCTTTAAATGAGTTTAATTGTAAACAAATAAATTAAAATAAAATGTATCAGCATAAAAATATATATAAAAATACTATTAAAATCGAAACAAAACTATTTTAGTGTTTTTGTGACATTAAAAGCAATCATAACGATTTCTAATTAAAACAGTGCCCAGGAAAAATTTGATTTTTAAAATATATTAGAAATGTGCATAGAGAAAAAGTGAAACAAAAAAGAAAATAAAATTAAATTAAATAATATTAATTATTGAAATTAGCCGAAATCTGCATACAAGAAACAGCTTTTCATTCAAACATTTTAAATATTAGTGAGCATACGCTCGGCCCCAAATTGGCTACGTTCCACTTTTTCTAATGTCCAACTACCGTATTAACTGCAACCACGAACAACAATACCAACGGCAACAGCAACAACAACAACAACAACAAAGAGACATAGTACATCAAATAAATAACGAAGACTACGACGAGATGTACGCGAGTCTTCGCTATGCCAGTACGAATCTCAGTCATAGCAGTCTCCTGCTAAATCAGACCGCGCTCGACAGTGTACCGGGCGAGAGCAACGAAGCTCTTGACGCATCAGTACCTTTAATAGTACAAAAATCGGTGCCATTACCTTTGCAAGTGTCAGGAAAATCCACTACATCAAGAATAGTTCCAGCCGCAATAGCAGCTGCTGCGGCTGTGGCTGCAACACCAATCACTTCAAATTTATCAGGCTCGAAGGTTAGACTTGCGCCCTTGTCTTTGCCACCAAATATTAATAGCTGTGGTGGCAATAGCTGTGGTGTTGGTGGCAGCAATATTATAAGTAGTAATACGCATAACTACTTACCACACGATTATAGCTTTTGTGATTCGTGTCGACCGTTACGGTTCCATAGTCATCTATCGAATTCAACTCACAGCGGTAGTCCCGGTACGATATCACATAAAAGTTTTAGTGCCAATTCGCCAATTCCACGGTTTTATAATTTACATTCAAACTCAAGTTCAAGCTCAAATCGTGGCAATTCATTGTCAACAACAGCTCCGCCACAATCGTTTCTAACACAGTCTTTGCCTACAGCAACACCATTTCAATTACGTACATTTCAACAATTTTCTCGTTTACAGCCCCGACGTACCGCCAGTAGCAGCATGTCGCAATCTGGGGACGATCTACATTCGCCCAGTTATCTATCATGGCGAAAATTACAACTAAGCAGAGCCAAATTGAAAGCTTCCAGCAAAACATCAGCTCTACTATCAGGATTTGCAATGGTGAGTTTATTTTTTTTTTCTTCTATTTTAAAAATGATTTATTTTTTACTAAATGTATACCTATATAACAGTACACCCATTTTTAGTCCTGCATCTTTACCTTAGAAGTGTTGAAATATATTCAGTTTTAACAAACTTTTTTTTTTGTTTGTGAAAAAAAATTTATAATGATGTTGTGATATAAATACGGTGACAGCTCAATAAATTGTTGGAAAAAGTACTAAAATCGCCCGCATGGTGATAACAAAATGCTTTTTGTCGAGCAATATTTTTCAGCTATTTATGACGTAGCGTCATTTCTGTATATGATAGACAAACTTATCGCACTGATCAAAAACAACGTATGAAAGGTTTCACGCCCAAAGTGAACAAAGTCAATTTGAATAATGCTTATAACACATTTGCACCCTCACATACGTTTGTAGACAACTGGGTTTATATATTTAAATATGGTTGTATACCCGCTTTTGTTACATTTTATTCAGGTGACTCGATTAGGGTTGCTACGCTAGAAATCTTCAATAATATATACGATATTGTCAGACTGTCGGGGTTCTACTATGAGTCATAACAGCAACAACCGCGATAATATTTTGATGGTTTCAAGAACGGTAGGGTTCATGTCCTGGAGCCACTCGTCAAGCGCGACGACTACAAGTGCCGTTCACTACCCCCGAACGGGAGTTTAAAAGCAGATTCCAGCGAGTTGCAACAACAACAACATAATGGTTTTGACTGATCGACAAGTGACAGTATGTGAGCTTGTTGAGGCCTTAGGCATTTTACACAAAAAATTGGGTATAAAAAATTTAAATTGAATTTACTTAACGGGGCTACGACGGTTGACGATTTCAAAACAAAGTTTAAAGTTATTTTGTTATTATTCAGCTAAATTCTTGGGTCGATCTATTACTATGGAAAAGTGAAATATATTTATACACACTCGATACAAAGAAATAATCAATGAATAAGGTTGAAATAACGCGAAGACAACTAAAGCGGTACAAAAAGCGAGAAACTTCTAGCGTTTACAATACCACGTACCTAGGAAAGTAACTAATGTCGACAATATTTCTCCACCAATTAAACAATTAATGTTATTAAATAATTTACCGGGCATGGAGTCCATTTAACTAATACTAGTAATTTCATATAATCTAGTTTTAGAGACTATAAGACTAAGTCATCAACATATCTGATACCCTTTTCCCTTTACTTTGGATATATCTATAGACTAGATAAATGAATAAGGTAATTATTTAGCTTTCTCGGACCATATAACGATCTCGGGCAATAGTATAGTAAACATAAGTAACTATGGAAATGACGTTACTTAGACAAGTAAAGCTGCAATTGTCAACAACATCATTCCACTAATTGGGAAACGGGATTTCCGTTTTGATGCAAATCCAAATCCATATAATGTTCCAAAGAAATATTGAAAAATAATTATATATTAGTTACAGGCTCCTCGGGGAGGTATGCACATCTGAGGTTAATTATTGCTTAGTCTGATGAAGTGATAAACAATAATCCAGTCAAGGCGTAAAGAGGGGTTTTGAAAATAGCTCAAGTTAAGAAAGAGTAAAAGTGCTCAAGTGCACTGACTCAAATAGCTTCAACATAAATAAATAAATTTAATATTAATCCGTTTTTAGTTATAAATATATTTTATGATTATTTTTGTTGTTTGTCCTTTCTTTTATAATTCACAGTCCTTATAAACGGTGGAACTGCAACTAAAATACTAAGCGGTACTTGGTAATTGTAGTTGATTGTTTCTGGAATGTCTTCGTGAAACTAGTCGTAAAACTTGAATTGATAATTAATTAACAATAATTTACATTTTCGATTTAAAAAATAAAATTATAATAACGCAAAAGGTCCTAAGATATATCAAGAATGTAACATTTAGCACTTTTTCCCTATTATACATCTTTTACCTTGAACTCATGCAAAATCTAAAAACAAAATTTGATTTATAGAAAACAATAAATTATTTGTGTATTTTTTTTTATACTTTTCATTATATACTTTATTTTATGCTCGTGATTAAATTATAACAAAATGTTTACATGCTTCACTTCCTGTCTTGCAATTTTTATTCGATGATTTCGATATCATCCATCTTATTCTACAAGTATCTACTTACTCCAATCTGTCTATCTGTCTAATGTTCGTCTGGCTGCCACATAAAAGTAATTCACAAAAACTATTTACCAAATTTTTTGGCAAGATTACAATAACCACAAAAAAAAAAATAGTGAGATATTTTCGAATATTCGAATGTGTGAATGTACATATATAAAAGATACATAGATACTGTCTTTGCAATAAATTTTAGTACAGAAATTAATCACATTGAATAGTGATGGCATATACATTAATTTTAATGTTGTTCAACATGCTAATTTGAACATGAGAACCAACTATATTAGAAATATTTTAATTTTTATTTTGTTGAAGTCAGTTTTTTCCTATTTATAACCAAGGTAAACGGGTTATAAATAAGGATGGGGAAAAGAAGTCTTCTTGTGTCAGCTCTCTTCAGATGGTTTCCGGTATAGTCTGACGAATATTCTAAACGTTAACAATGTTTCTACTGAAACCCAAGTTTTATCTTTGCTTTATACTTATAACTTTCCTGTGGTAGAAATCATTGCTAAAGGATTCCTAAATTGTTTGCACTTTTTTTTTGAATCCTTTAATATATTATCTACTTTCCGATCCAAAGCGTTTTTAAAGAACCGATAAGATATACCATGTATATACCATGGTATATACGAAATACGAAATTATAATATTTCACAGGTCAATGGTGCTAATGATGTAGAGCGTTAGCGATTCACAGACCGGCGGTTGAAAAACCTTTATCTAGTTTACTTAAAAATAGAAAATAGTTATATGAATAGTTAGATGAATTTAAATATAATTATGTATTTGTACTGAAAACAAAACACAAACATCAAGAAAATCCTTTGCCGGTTTTATCTTAGCCTTATATAGATGTTCAAGGGTGGCTCAGATCCATTGCCAATGGATTTGAACGTTTTTTTATGCGATACTAATCGCATACTTTTTTGAAAATTTCTTTTTGCTTGGAACTTTTGCTTAGAAGATGCGATGGAAGTATTCTACCTGCGGGTACCGAATCAAACACTTATCTAACTACAGCATTTTCTTCCATTCGCATGATATCACTAAGTCAGCAAAGCCGCTGAATTTTTATGCGTTTAACTGTGTCAGTATCGGGTTATAGCTAATCGTTCCATCTAATTTGATACTCGTTCCCAACACGTACGGGACCACAAATCTACCGAAGAATTCTCTTCCGATTGCTCTTAACGCCTTCTCATCACTGTTGGTAATTGTCCAAGCTTCTGCATTATAAAATAGGGCAAATATTATAATAGACTTGTAGACCGTAATTTTTTTTTTTGTCGAAAGAGGGCTTTTCTTTCAATTACCTACTTAGCCCGAAGTAGCATCTGTTGGCAAGATTGATACTTTGTTGAATATCTAGGCTAACGTTCTTTTTAGTGTGTACGCTGGGTTCCAAATAAACAAAGTCTTTCTCTTACATTTGGTACTAAATACTAAAATTAATTTCTACTAATACTACTATTTATTTTTTAATTTTATTTATTTCTCTTCTTTTTTAGGTGGCAATGGTTGAGGTTCAATTAAATAATGACACTGACGTTCCTGCTGGTATGCTAGTAGCCTTCGCGATTTGTACTACGCTGCTCGTGGCAGTGCATATGTTGGCACTTATGATAAGCACATGCATACTTCCAAACATTGAAACCGTCTGCAATCTGCACAGCATTTCGTTAGTGCACGAATCACCGCATGAGAGGTTACATTGGTACATTGAGACGGCCTGGGCATTTTCAACTCTACTGGGCCTAATATTATTTCTAATAGAGATTGCTATTCTGTGCTGGGTGAAATTTTACGATTTAAGCCAACCGGCTGCTTGGTCAGCGTGTATTGTGCTCATTCCGGTACTAGTAATCTTCCTTGCATTTGCTATACATTTTTACCGCTCGCTTGTGACACACAAGTATGAAGTAACTGTGTCCGGCATAAGAGAATTAGAGATACTGAAGGAGCAAATGGAGCAAGATCATATGGAGCATCATCAACATCGAAATAATGGATTAAATTACGCTGCAAGTGGCGAAATTGTCTAACTTCCAATAAAGTCCATACAACTTTAAAGCCTGTCTTGAAAAACGAGTATTTTTGCATATAATTTGTTGTTAGCGATTAAGTTATGAACTTTAGTAAGCCACACATGTGTGAACAATATTTAATTCATAATTAGGATTAATTTTTAAGTTATGGTAGATCATAGATCGTAAATCGTAAATATGTTTAATTATTATTGATACGAATTAAAATACAAAAGACGTAAATGTGTAATATTTTATATGATAAATTCATTCGATTAGTTTATTAGTTTATTATATTAAATATGCAATTGTGATATTGTACACCGTATTTTTAACTTTGCAATATGCAAACGAAATTCTAATTTTATTTAGTTGGTAAATTTTTTAGAAACAATAATTATTGAATTTTTATTACTAACTGATAATGTGTTACTCTTAAATATAAGTATTTGTAAAAATATTTTTGTAAAATTTTATATAAGAAGTTTATTGCCCACATTATATATCGGAATTAATAATTATTACAATAATTATACTTTACACACATTAAGAAAATTAAAACACTTCCACAAATCTCAAAGGTTTTAGTTATTTATTTATAAAAATATATATTTTTTTTAAAAACAAAATATTTTTTTATAAACTGTCATACATTATAAAAAAAATATTTTAAAAATTAATTTATAACTAAAATACAAAAAAAATAATTTTTTACTGGAAAATATTCTTTAAAGCAGTAACATAAGTTATTTTTTAATATTATAGCATACTTTAAATTAATATATAAAATAATTTTACAACACTAAAATTTTGAAAATTAATTTTCATATATTCCTAGTTTTATTATCACTTTGTATTATTAATTTTTTAAATAATTATTTTTATTTAATCAATAACCATTATTTTATACATAACTATTAAATTTTTTTTTTATATTTAATTTTGAATAATTGTCTTATATGCTAAATTTTTAAAAATGAAAAATTTTTTTAAATTAAATATTCTGATTTTAACATCACTTTTATTTTTATTTTTTTTATTTACATATTTTATTTAATAATCATACTTTACTATTATACTTAAAAGCAATAGCATATATATGATATAACAATACTGAAAGAGATTCGCATTTTTATCTTGTAAGATAAAAAAAAATTTAAACTTAATTTTTTATTCTTTCAATTTTCAATAAATTATAATAAAATAAAATTTTTTTCTTTTAGTATTTTTTATTTATATAATTATTTAATTAACTATGTATACTGTGTTTAGTATAATAAAAATATTAATAAAATTGCATAAGAATTTATGATATGAATATATGTAATCAAAATAAGTAGAATTATATTATATATACAAATAATTTTTATTAAAAAATAAATAAAATATACCCATACCATTTATAAAATTCTGAACTTATATATTTTATTTGTAAATGCATATAGAATAATTATTCTTTAAAAAAATTGATTAATAAAAAGAATATCGTAGGCACAACGCTTAAACAACTAATTTTCAATGGAGAAATTATTCAAATATTTAAATATAACAATAGCTTATATATAATAGCCTGTAAAGAAACCAATCGCATTGACAACAATATCTAGAGATTCTTACTCAAGAATAAATAAACTAGACAATTGGAGATCGATTAAAAAAATATCAATGCAATAATTACAATAACTTATTAGAATAAAAGTTCATCTATAAAATAAATCCATTATAGTTAGAGATCTAAATCAGTATTTTTTTATTATACAGAATAGTAAAGCAATTAACAAATATATATATATATCCAATTTGCAATTACTTTAATTGAAATATATCAGTAATAGATTACAATTTAGGTATTCTTTGACGCAGCACAATAGGTTTCTCCAATTCTTTACAAGTGCATATATATTTTGGGTCATCGAATTGAATTTTTGTATACCATTTACCTTTGGGATCGATCATATTAAGTCGCTTGAACTTTTGTACAAATTTAATACATAATAGTTCCTAAGAAATTTGAAATATTATTAAACTTATTATATACAAAACCGATTTCAATTTTATATCTGTACCTGTAAAGATTTTGGTGGTTTGTCTGCATTAACCATATATGGACGGAAAAAGTTTCTTATTAACTTATTGGGATCAACAAGGCGCAACTAAAAATAACCAACATTTTTATAAATTACAAAACATTGAACAATATACATATTATATACCGGCGGTATTGGATATTCGGAGGGATGATCAACTTGATTACGAAATTCATCAATTATCATTGATGTTTTGCATATATCATTCTCCCACATTCCTTTTTGTATTTGTCCTGTATGATTATGATAAAATGTACCTTCGCCATTTTTGAGACCTTGCGCGTAATGTCCTTCATAACGGTTGCCATTTACTAAAACAAAGTATTTAAATATATCTTAATTGCATTTAAAATTAAACATTTTTTTTAAATCAACTTACAATAAAAGAATACACCAACTCCATGATAATAATCAGATCTCCATTCTCCTAGATAACAAGTACCATCCTCAAACCACATGATGCCGAGACCGTCACGCCTATTATTTCTCCACCAACCATAATAAACGCCATCTGGAAAGAATTGCTTACCCTCACCGCTTTTCTTGTCACATTTCCAATCTCCAACGTAGTACTTTTCATAAGTACCATCCGGTTTACTTTTACGCATCGTTCCAAACCCATGGCGCTTACCATCAAGCCATTGTCCATCATAAGCCATACCCTTTTTTGTGATCTTTACACCATAATGGTCTTGCTTACTTTTGGTCCAGTATCCCTTATAGGTACCACCACCGGGATAGAAAAAAGTACCACGCCATCCAGTACTTTCTCCTTTTTCATGATTCACAGGTTTGCATTGTACGTAGCAGCCTACACTCATGTCGGAATTTTGATTCTCCAATTGTTAAGACCAAAATTTACAACTTTTTGTAACAAATAAAATATTTAATTTTTAAATTAACATATCCAAAAATGTAGCAAACAAGGCCTGCTTTTCTCCAATTCCTATTTCCAATTGACATTTAAATTCTGTCATGCCTAATAGGAAATGTGGTATTGCGATGATAATAGCAGAGCTTGCATATTTACACATATTATTATGTTATAAAGTGCATAAACTGGGGAAAATAAATTATCTGCATGTATTATTATGTATGTATGCCTAGGATTTTATGGCAGAATAGCACGACATCCATCTAATGTGTCTGTTTAGTGTATTTAGCGATACCGTCGCTGAAGTCACACAAAATTTAGAAGGTAACCCATTTTTATTTTATTTTTTTTTCTCACAACAATAAAACAATATCTTATACCTTGCACACTCACTCGTTCTCTTGTAAACGAAGTATTTATATAGGGATGAGGCGTTCAAAATGATGTCTCTAGAAAAAAATGGTGTAAGGTACATTTAAATCTCAACTTTGGGCAATAGTATCAACATATTCAAACAAGACTTTTGTTCTGTCAAATAACTTAATTTATTTATTTATAGTTCTATCAAAATTGATTCGTAGAACAAAAGGAATTTACAAACATTCTTTATCGGTCACTGTTAATAATAAATTTAATTTTATTTTATTTAATAAATTGACTTATTTTCAGATTTCTAATATATTATTACAGTTATATGTACAAATCTTTTTGAAAAAAACTATATATAGTTCATAATATTCCTTATATCTCCCGAAGTTAATAATCTGTATATATATATTTATATTTCAGTTAGTTGAGGTTGTTAAGGAAAGCCTAGGAAGATCACAAGACTAACCTAACAAAACTGTATAAAATTCATATACCAGTCATTTGCTAAACTAAAGCGGTATCAACTCCATACTACAAAAACAGTGCTGTCAGGTCACAGCGTATTAAAAAGGTATACAATTATTAGCTTATCATTTGGAATATATACACCCTTTTTGAAAATATGGATAATACACTATGAAACATTGCCAAAAAATATTTGCTAGTAAGTAACATCACGCCTCTTGGGTTACTTAAGCGCATACATTAAGTCATGGTCTACCCTCTAATGACTTTTATTGAGGTTATGGCTCAGCGAATGAAGACAAAACTGTTATCCACCTCTTGTATCAAATCCCATTATTGAAATTTAAAATCTTTATGGTTTCTTTTCTAATTGACCTGATCATGAATTAGACGTTTGGGGCCGCAACCTTTAAGATAGTGCATTTCATTCCTGTGCTACAACCGGCTACCGACAAAAATCGCATGTTACATTGTAACCATCTTTATGCAAACTCTAAAATACTTCTTATAAAAGAGCATACCGAATTAAGGTTTAAGCAAAATCCCCTTGCGTATCACACAAAGAACATTCCAATAGACATCCCAAAATGAAGAACATATCTCTTCATTCCACGCTGTGATTCATCGATCAATATTTTCGTAGCAGTGAAGTCGAATAAAAGCAAGGACTAACAGCTGAAGCAATATCATTTTTATGGATGCTTAAAAACAAAGTTCTCAACAGATCTCCTGATATACCTGGGAAAAGAAAACGCCTTCCTAGTGCAGCAAGAACTGTTCTAACCCAATTATAAACACTTGGCAAACAGTTACTTGTCCAGAGTTTGCCCCAACTAGAGTTCTAGACGTCACGCATCTCTTATCCTGTCTTGCATTGAGTAAACATGATAACCGGGCGGATAAAGTAACTTGTAACTTGTTACTTTTTGTTACTACTATACTTAAATCTTTGATTTTGGAAAATATAAACGCAAGAGTAGTCATAGCATAACAGCCATGACGTATTCATAAGTTTACCACCAACTGCGTGCGTGAATGCAGTGAAAGAGTTTGTTTTTGTGATTTAAATTTAAGTTAATAATTCAATGTATATGCAATATTTACAATTTTTAGAATAAAATCGACAACTTCATTGTGTATTGTGTATTTTTAAGTGTATTTCACTGAAACATAAAAATATCTATAAGGTTCTTACTTTAGTAAATAATTATAAACTTATTTCACACATTTGACCGACTTGACCTGACAGAGATTTTAATATGATAATTTAAAAAATTTCGTAAATATTTATTTATACATTGGTAATAAAAATTTATTAAAAAATAAAACAAAATTTAAATTTGAAATTACATAAAACCAAAAACAATTGTATTAATTTTCTGAACAAAATATCTTTAAAATTAAAATAAAAAATATTCAATATTAAAAAATTTTTGTATAGTTTTCATGATTGCCTATTTATAAATTCCGACGACGTCTTGTTGTACGCGCAGAGTCCGGTGCTTTCGGAGCGTTCTCTACTTTGAATACAGATGGATCGACGTTTTCAATATTATCTAAATTGGTACCTCTGCCTAAGCGTTGTCGAGTACCGCGCTTTGTTGCAGTCGATGTGGAGGGCTTCGCAGATTTTGTATTAGATGTACTCGGTGTAGCAGTTATCACTTTCTTATTATTCTCTATTGCTTTGGAGGTTTGACTAAGATTTTCATCTGAAGATACTAAATCCACAGTCCCTAGTGACTTTTGTGAAGACTGTTCTTTCTGTTTTTGAATTGAAGTCGATGCCTTTTTTTCAGAAGTAGATAAAATTGTGTGACTTGATGGTCTTTTTAGAATGTATGTGGTAAATTCATCATATACAACATTACCACTCAATACATCACTAACTTCAATTACAACTTCTCGCAGTGGAGCTGTATTCTTAATTTTCTGTTTTGTACCATTTTCCTTATTGACATCTACTTTGGATGCTTGACTGCCATTCTCGTCTGAAATCGCTAAACCAGCAAATTCCATCAATAATGACTTTTCCAAAGGTGAGCTTTTCTTTTTTTGAGCTGAACTTTCTCCATTTCTGTCAGGTTCAGCTACTGTTGGCTTTTTGAGTACATATGTGGAATATTTATCAAATACAAAATTACCACTTAATACATCTTTCACATCAATCTCGATGCGTTTCGGAGTTACTTTCTTTGTTTTCAGTTCTGTTTCAGCAGTGCTATCATTCAACACTATAATATTGGTAGCGCATGGCTCAACACTTGATTTTTTGGTGCTTAGGCTTGAATCATCGGCAATCGATGTTTTGGTACTTGTTTTTGGTATTGCATTTCTTGGTACTGGTTTTCTTTTGTTCTTCTCATCTACTATTAAATAAGCTTTATTCATATTGATTGACTTAGGTTTCACATTTTGTTTTTGGTTCTCATCAAACACTGGACTTCTACTCTTGTCTAACATAACTGGTGAGTTATTGTATTCCAGCATTCTACGTAATTTGGTTGGTTTGGATGGATCTGCTGCATCTTTCGATTTTTGTTCCAATTCCCGTTCGATTGCTTGAATTTGTAATAAGAAATTAATACGATAAGCAACATCTAAATTCCGATTCATATTATTTGTTTTTGTAATGACATTTTTAAGATATGTTAGAGCTTTTTCATATTTTTTTATTGCCCGCAGATAATTGACATAATGCTGCGTAAAAAACAATTCTACATGTGGATAGTTTTCAGGTGGAAGTC